TTTAAAGGTGCCATTTGTAATCTTTAAACATATTTCTAAGCCTATTCTAATCACATAATTTCCCCGGTACATTTGAAATATTGTGATTTTACGATCTTGCCATGCAGTGGGTCTCTTGATTTATTTGTTACAAGCTTCTACATGAAATGTAATTGTAAATTTGTCTGGCCCAGGAAATTAGCTTCGCCCCAAGCCAAAGTATTGCTGCTCAGCTCTGCTCCTTTGCCTTAAAGGCAATACATGAGGCATGCTGTACATAGTTTTAACAGAGGAGGTGGGGTCAGAGGAAGGCTTGACAACTTTGAGCAAAAATGACAAACTACTGCTTTAACTGCTCTTAGTAAACTGTTATTTATTTATCCAAAGCATATTGCTAATAAATTGTATGCATTATCATTACATTTTATAATACTTTACTTCCACTTCAACTTACCATTGAAAGGAATTTATGACAAATTTCTCCAAAGAGGTTCTTTATCAAAGATGGCAGAAACTGTGTTTTCTACAACATTACCACAGACATAGTTATTTATGCAGTTCAATTAATTAATGCTAATAATAATTACATATATATATATATATATATATATATATATATATATATATATATATATATATATATATATATATATATGTGTGTGTGTGTGTGTGTGTGTGTGTGTGTGTGTGTGTGTGTGTGTCTGTGTGTGTATACATATATATATGTATATAAATCCCTGCTTTTGTGAATGTACAGCACATGTAGTAGAAAACATCAATCACATGAAGTGCATGCTACATGGCCTCTGCAATCCCACTGTGAAGAGGATGTGTTAAATCACTGATAGCTCCAAGGCTAATAACCTCTACCCCAACATCCCAGTGCTTCAGCACACACACTGGTTTCCTGTGCTCTGTTTCCACTTACGAGATGACCCTGATGAGGGGTCTGGAATTTCACAAAGGGTCAGAGGTCAAATGATACACATGAACTGTGTAGTGCTGGAGGGCAGGTGCTTCCTATATGTTTACGAGCAGGTTGCACAAGGATTGATGTCATTTTAAGGAAAGATGACTATACGTTAGTGTCATCCAGCCACAAAGTTTTAAGTTATGAAACATTTCTTTTTTGCTAAGTCACCCAAAATACTGTTCCCCTGCATTAAAGTGCTTACTCACTCTAAGGCAGTTTTCTGAATAATTTAAGACGGCTCTGAGGCACTATGATAAGAAGTTCAGCTCACAAAAAACTTTGAGTTCATGCACTTATGAGAGTAGAAGTGCAGTTTATAGGTAAAAGACAGAGAGTCTAAATTTAGCTTTGTTTCTCAGAGCTATTCAAAAGTTATGACCCCATTTACACCTGGCTATTTCTTGTGTCTTGTATCTGGATTTTATCCTGATACAATTTTAATCACATGAAAGCTGTATTGTATGCTCAAATGGAAATCACCCAATTCCAGTGTTCTTCATTTTTAGTTATTTTATAAATAAAATAGTTGAAATGTATGCGTGTATATATATATGTAAACAGATTTTTTGCGGTATTTTTAATATTAATTTTAGCATTTATTAATATTAAAATTAGCATTAATTTATTAAATTTAAGTTTTTAAAGGCAACACCTTCAGCATTCTCTGTCTGTGTGGAGTTTTACATGTTCCAGTGTCTGCGTAGGTTTACTCCGAGTTCACTGCTTTCCTCCCACCTGCCAAACACATGCTGGTAAGTGGATTAGCTACTCTGAATTGCACCAGGTATGAATGAATATGTGAATATGTGTGTGTGAATGGTGCAGGCGGTGTGTGTGTGTGTGTGTGTGTGTGTGTGTGTGCATGGTAAAGAATGTATTGTGCCCAGTGTTTCCAGGATTAGCTCCAGATCCACTACGACCCTGACCAGGATAAAGTGCTTACTAAAAATGAGCACTGAACTTTGGCATTCACATGTTTGGGGAGAGGGTTTGTTTGTGAAATGTGGCTTAGAAGGGCAGATGCATAACGTATAACATGGCTAAAATGTGTCTACCTTTGGATGTGGTATGGGAGATTTAATGGTTAATCCTGATTCAACAAGATCGATAAAACAAAAAAGTAAATGGGGTCTATGGGTCATAAATTTACTTCCTTGAGTTGGAAAATTAGGCCAGTTTAATGATAATGTTCCCATAAAAACCCTGTTATTAGCACATAACATCTACATAACTGTAAAATGTGGCTCATTGGGATGCAGAACTTGCATCGTCATCATGGAATAAATTTATATTATATTATTACATTATATTTAAAGTAAAAGATGAAAAAAACACAATTCCTTACAAGTAATCATTTGACTGAAGTAGTGATTTACACTGAAAAAAACTGCTATTATAATGCTATTACTAACAGTAGTAATGGTAGTCTCACCTAAGATCTTTTCTACAGAGCTCTGCCTCAAAATGCATCCAGCACTGTCACACAGATTTAGCAGTGTGGTACACTGCTAATTACCACATTGTCTGACGTACTGCAACCCATAACAATGAACTAAACATCATTATGCATCATATGTTGAATACTGCATCACTACGGGGGAAGCAGTTCTGGACCTGAATCACTTTTTTTTTCTTTTTTGCTATCATTCTGCCTGCCAGGTAGAATTGTGCCAGAAAGCTGGAAATTCTGCAGGTTTTACAATAATTCCTCTTTGAATTTAAATGAAACATGGTTTATTCCTGAAATTGTATTAAATAATTAATTCTAAAACAAAATTACACATGCAGTTTAATGCGAAGACATGAAAATTTGGTCATGTATTTACAAAAACAATATTGGGTAAGCTATTTTTTTTTTTTTTTTTTTAATTTTCAGCTACATAGCCTCATAGCTTCAGTGAAAAAAAAAAAAAACATGCCAACACCAAACATGTCTTTGCTGATTACTCAGGAAATATAGGATAACTTTGTGAATTGCACAATTTAATTAAATTTAATTTATCAATTAAATTAAAAATGGATAATAAAACATCAGTAAATCTCAAGGTGCTCATGATGCTTTGCCTGAAGCACATTTATTTTTTATTTTTTTTATTTAACTATGGAAGGTCAAATAGATGCTGTAAATTGATGCTCCATAGTATTGGAAGGCAGATGCATTATAGAAAAGGCAAGATTTTTAAAGATTATTAGACAGTGCCATAAAGCAGTCAGTATGTTTTGTTGGCTAGGCAGGAAAATAAGAAGTTGGAAAGCAAGGACAGTTCACATGACGTAGCTTTGTTTATGGTGGTGAAAGGCCATGATCCTCCATGCCACAGTGTATTACCGCAACACAATACCAGCACACAGGCTGTATTAAGGCAACATTGATCAGCACCATATTTATTACTTTCAAGGTAAAGTGAAAAATAAGACAATAATAATCAATCCTTTATGATAAAGGCTGTTGTAGCATGTAGCATGCGCGATTCATTTTCACTAGTCTACAGCAGCACGGTAGCAGAAGGCATCGTTGGCTTTTTTCTTGGCTGGATTTCAGCCATGCTCTTCTTCTGCCAACAGCCTTTCTCGCTATTCAGAAGCCTGTGGGAGAATCCAGTCATGAGTGTGAGAAGCGTAGGCAGTCTTGTGGTGTCTAGCACAGGCTGCTGCAGGGGAGAAGAGACACCGAGAGGGAAAGTGTGGAATGACTCACTCTGACCCAGTTTGAAGAGCTAGATGGGTAAGCTGGTGTGGAGCTGAAATGTGGTTAGAAAAGCAGGTTCTCTCATCCATCTTTCATTTTAGGAGAGCCAAGAATACTTCATTAAATATAATGAACAGTATTTAAATGAATACTTGAATGTTTATTTACTACAACAGACACATCTCTCTTAAAGGAAAACTCCACCCTGAAACACATTAAACAACATACTGATACTGAAGTATTTGTGACATGCTTAGCGAATCTGGTGCTAATTTGTTGGATGGTGCTCTATTTTCGTTATTTCTGTGAGAAGTTAGCAGTTGTGTGTCGCTCTGACATCACGGGGGTTATTGCCAGCGCAGTTACAAAGGTGTTTAATACGAGGAAACATATTTAACAGTGACATGACACTGATGGTGGTATTAGCAAGAATGTTGAAGCTTTGGAACCCAATCTGTTTTAAAAGAGTGTACAGATGAGGAGGTGAGAGAGCAGGACAGACTATAGGACTAAAGCGCTGCTGCATCACTCGCTTTAGGTACAGATGAAGTGATGGCTCAGCAGGTGAAACAGCATTGTGGGTAATGTAGGAAACTGTTAACCAATGTTAAAATACACTGGAAAAACATGACAGCAAGTGAAAATATCTTGAATATAGTCAAATTTATCTAGCATTTCCTGTTATAAGGTTATCATAAGCCAAATATAAGAACATGTTTCTGGACACTTTATTTATTTGTTTGTTTGTTATTATTATTATTATTATTATTAGTAGTAGTAGTAGTATACTAATAAGGTGTAAATCTCAAGCTGTAAATCTTCTTATTCTACTGGAAAATAAAAAATCTGAATAAAATAGGTTTAATAATATTGTATTTCATTTATTGTAGTCTTATAATAGGGAATATACAGTATACAGTAGATTTGACTATATTCATAAGATGTCTCTTTTTTTGCAGTGTAGACCAACATGTTGATGAAAGAAGTTTCAAATAAAAATGTCAAGTCAAAATTTCATTGCAAAATAAATCTTAGATGCTACTGAAGATCAGATGTTAATTATAAAGATTAGTCCCTAAAGCTGGTGATCTACAGCAACCTCAAGCGTTCATTATAATTAAGTTTCGGTAAACAGGTTTCTGTTCTTTTCTGAGTACAAGAGATAATGTCAAAATGATTGTCTGTGTTAATTACAGATAATTACATGTGCTAAGGAGAGATTAGGTTAAAAATCGCTGAGCACTTCTTTAAACAGGTGTATAAACATATCTATTCCATAGTGGTTAAATTTCATCTGCCTTTGTGAAGCTTTATACATTGATTTTTTTTCCTTTAGTTATATGTATGAGGGACTCTGGTTCCCTGGTAGAATAGTGGTTAGTATGTGGTGCTCTCACTGCCACAGCCCTGGTTTGATTCCTGGTCAGGGAACCTACCCCAGCCACTGGAGGGTTGCATGAGCCCGGAGGATGGGAAAGTTTGTGTCAGAAAGGGCATCCAGTGTAAAACTTGTGCTAGAATCAAAACATGCGGATGGGTAAGCCGCTGTGGCAACGCCGAACAGGAGCAGCCGAAAGAGGAAAAAAAATACAGTACTGTGCAAAAGTCTTAGGCACATGCAAAGAAATTCTGTAGAGCAAAGATGCCTTCAAAAATAATTATATTAAATGTTTCTACATTAAAACAAAAATACTATAAAGAGCAGTAAACAGTAATAAATGAAACAAAGTCAATATTTGGTGTGATGACCCTTTGCTTAAAAAAAAAATTAGTAGTCTCAGGTACAATGTGTGCAGTTTTATAAGGAAATTAGCTGGAAATGAGCTGTAAGTGTTACTGAGCATCTTGCAGAAGCAGCCACAGTTCTTCTGGAGACTTTGACTGTCACACTTGCTTCTTATTTTTGCAGCAAAATCCAGCAGCCTTCATTATGTTTTTTGTCTGAAAAGTGTTCTCTTATGTAATATGCTGCTTTCTTTCCTGACATACAAACATTTTTCTGTAACATTTAATTTTGTGCTGGAAAACTATTGTTTGGTAATCTAAAATGTTTTTGTACTGACACCATAATGTAGAAGTCATAAAATAAAAATCAATAGCAAAGTTTGCTCTAAAAAAATCAGGGTACCTAAGACTTTTGCACAGTACTTCATATATATATATATATATATATATATATATATATATGTGTGTGTGTGTGTATGTGTGTGTGTATATATATAATATGTATGTATGAGAGACTCTAAACTTCTTTCACTCCAGCCTTGTCTACAGCCATGTCCACGCAAGTGAATAAGGATAAATCGGAAAACATTCTGCTTATATTAGCCACTTACATGCCTAGAGGCCAAAAAATGTCTATCACTAAAATGGAGGCAATCGCCTCCTCTTACTCTCTAAAGCTGTCATTCACAGCGTGTTTTTATGTGTTACTATAACCTTACCATATGCACCACATGTCTATTTTGAAACAACCCTCTCTCAGGCTCTGTAATAGTACCCTTTTTTTTAATGGCTCCTAATTCGGGAAAAAACGAATCCCAACACATGAGTAGGAATAGAAATAAAACGGAACACTGAAGTGCCCTGCAGTTGCACTCAAGAGCTAGTTAGTGGCTTGTGGTTACACATAAAGACCCTGTTCCCTGGAGTGAAAGCTAATATTAGCACTACACAGCCCCTGCGGCGATGGTGAGCTTGGTGCGGATGTGATTGCTATTTTTCATAGCCAGACAACTGAGAATGTGCTCTCAATGACATGTCGGAGACAACTCAGCTGTGGAAAAGATCCCAAAATGATGCAGAGGTTTGCTTTGGCTTAAGTAATTCGAAATATGTTCCATCAATATTTGACATATTTAATCATTTTGTTATTTCATTCTCCCACAGTAATGGCATGGGCCCAGGATTGCAGTTTGGCAATAGTCTCTGCCTGACCTTTGGAGTTAATCTGATAGAATTACACAATATATGTGGAATTTAGTTTTGACTGAAGCTTGTGTGTATCAGTCTGAAACAAAGCAAGATCATATAGATGTACACAGGTGAGACTGACAGAGGGCGTTTGCTTTCTTATGCTTCCTTCCAGCTTTTAATGTTCTTTAAAAAAAAACAACATATTGATATTTTCTGTAAAGATCTGATTATGAGATTTGTGAAAAATGTTTCCCAGCGCTGACTGATTTAATGGTCGCTGCTGTAAAAATTCTCTATAAACTGTCTCTGACTGATGGGTTGCCACTTCCCAAGGTCAATAACTGAAACCAGTCCCAGTAAGACCCAACCAACCACCCCTCCAACACACACATACACACATAGGCACAGAGGATATATAACAGTGTAACACAGAAAGAGTCACATGGCTTTAGATATGACACAGCTGTGAGGTTGAATGTCAGTGACGACCCTTGATCTGTCGCTTGGGCTCACTGAACCTGAGACCTTTTGAAGAGGAAGTAACTTACACCAAATGTGTCTGAAGCTAACAAGTAAGAGATGTTTATAGCTGCTAGCTTAGCATCTTGCAAACTGCAAATCCAAATCATTACCTCAAACCGACTTACCTCATACTGATCTTGAGAAGACTTGCTTATGTGGTTTCTGACACTGTATACGACAAAGTGTTGTCTATAAAAATGAGGTTGCATAGCAAAAACAGTGGCAGCCATCTTGAATCTCTTTGCATCACAGTCATGTAAGATAAGTACCTGTTGGTTTAAAATATTTGTAGTTGGAATTGTGTATTAGAATTGATACTGTCAATTTGGATGTAATTAAATTCGATATTTGACATTTATTTTTTTAATATGTAGACCTAATTGGCTATCATAACCTCAATAAATTTTCACAGAGATTGTTATAGCTGTAAATTGAAACTATGAGATAATGTTGGAAGATTTAAACATGCAGTTTGCATAACTAAACTGGTAGTGATAAGCTTTCTATACCTGACAGCTACATTAGGCACAGATTATCCACAGATCCAGTGCAAACGTAAAGAAGCAAACTATGGACCGCAAACATGTCTTTGTCGATTGATTGATTTTCGGACAGTGTGTGTGTGTGTGTGTATGTGTGTTGGGGGGCGGGATAGGAATAGGAAAATAACCACTGACATGGTGGTGTAGTGCCTCCCTGAAGATTATTTTCCACTTATACCACAACAATTTGCCAGTCTTAACAACTTTTATTTATTAAAGAATGAAGCCAAAAAAAAAAAAAACTGCAGCTTGTCATGTTTTTTTCTTCATTCTTTCATTCTCATAATCATAACCAGTTCCAACACTGTAATGTCCTACTATCCTAATACTGTGAAATCTTTCACTTTCATTGCAAAATCTTCTATTCTATCCTCATTACTCATGTTCTTTCCCTATGTCCTTATATTTCTCTGCCTCCCTCTCTCTCTCTCTCTCTCTCTCTCTCTCTCTCTCTCTCCATGGACCCACTGGGCCCTGGTGTGATTTTCTGTTGTCTCTTATCCAAGGAAACTGCATTAGAATGTGGACCATATGTTATCAGTTTAAACTGCTTTGTCCTGTCCAGGACCTTCTGTCCTTCTTGTCCATCTGCTGCATGGACAAAAGGTAAAGAGAAGACACAGTGATGTAGCAGGAGGTATCAGAACAACATGGAAACAATAGAATTCTTCTAAGAAAGAGAAAAAAAAGTGGATGGGATGAGATGCAGGATAAATGTACCTCGGAGCCAAATGTTTTCTTTGTAACCTATTTTTACTTAGTACACTGACTAAATAAGGTAACGTAACATAAGAAAAGAAGACAAAAGAAAACAAAACAGAAAAGAAAAGAAAAGAAAAGAAGAGAAAAGGCCAGTAACTAAGTAACTAAATGTCATGGCCACTAATTGTCTAACTCGTGCCCACAAATTAATATGCTGCAGTAATATCATATCTAATACGTGGCCTCCAGGTAATTATTTCCTGGGAACAGGCACAAAAGTCTATTCAATTTAAAAATTGTCACTAAGGTGACATGGGCTAATGATCCATGTCACAACAATATATCCATGTTTAGGTTCTTGTGGCCACAGTTGTCTAATTCAAATGATTTCTGTGTCTCACTCATTTTAAAATACAACAGTTGCCATGAGATAAATACTTTGTGGCCACTAAATAGATCTCGAGAAACTTCACTCATTTCCTTACTATATGAATTAATGGTCGCAAGAAACTTAAATTGTGGTCTCAATGAATTAAGTCATGGCTATACTTTATTTAAAAATAACCACCATGTCACCTCTGCAGCTCTGCATCTTCCAGTTTGGGCCATATGTTTAATTTGATGTATGTGGAATGTATATAAAACATTGATGTATGTGAAGTATATAAAACATTTTGCTGTTTTATGAAACTTTTATTGTACAAATTGTGTTACTGAGCTAACCTGCACTTTGTGGTGTAAGTGTCTTGTGATTTACTTGCCATTTGTGCAAAGCTGAATTAGTAAGATATTAATAAGAGAAAAAACAGGCTTCAGACACCAAGTATGTCTTTGCTGATTGACTAAGGGCATTTGGGGTGAGAGTAAATTTAAATTTGAAAGTCAGAAAGAGAACATATAACTATCTACATCATCCTTCTTTTGAAAGTGACGAGATGAAAGATGAGATGAACATGCACAATTGAAGGACAGGTTTGAGTGGCAGGTCTAGGCATGCTGGATGGGCTCTGTGGAGACGAGCAGGACTGAAGCTGTGATGCTGATGCCAGCACTTTCCATCAGGCTGAGTAATGCATGCCCTGGCAGGTGGACCCCCCAGAGAGAGCAATGAGAGAGCTCAAATGTGACTAAAAGATGATGCATCATACCTGTGTATCCTGTGTTTCCTTGATTCCTGTCACTGTATTCCCTTTCCAGAGCTCCAATGTCTCCCTATCTTTACCCTTTCACCGCAACTTTAATTTTATTGACAAGGAAACTGTGGCATTACATTACATTACAGTATTAGTTCTCTTTAGGTCAGTATTTAAAGAGTTAAGAGCTAAATCATGTATAAACCCTTTGATGTAAACTAGCACATTGTATACAGTATACACAAATAAAACAGGTCTATCATGGAAAATTCAGATTAAAATAGATTTTCGTTCATTCCTTGTGGCTAGGTAGTCAGCAGTCAGTCTGTCTCTGTGAGATAAAGTTCCTGTAGCCTATATGCTATTTTTATTAAAGCTGTCCTGATTATGCAGAGATCCTTCACTCAGGATAGGTAAAAATACTCTCACTCCCTGAACTCGCCTGCTTCATGAATTACAGATCCTCATCAGACTTTAAGATTATCATGTTATAAACTTGCTGCATGTTAAACCAAAGAAAAGTTTCTCTTTCTTTCTTTCTTTCTTTCTTTCCATCCTTGCCACAATTACTCATTAAAACTAGGTGTAGATATAATAGAAGTCATTTAAGTGAATG